AACAGATGAGAGATGCTAGGGAATACTTTCTAATCTTAATACCCTAAAAAACAGAAGATAAGCACACATTTTTTATCAAATTAGAGATGACTCTAGTAAGTAAGATGAACAAATAGAAAGAGGGGGGATCCCCCTGCCTCAAACCCCTAGAAAGAATAAGATCACCCAGAGCTTGCCTCCTAACTTTGAATGAAAATAAGTTGAACTAATGCAAACCCAAATCCAATCCCAAAAAGTTGTACAAAATCCCATCTTTCTACTGATTCTAGTAAGAAAACGCCATTCTATCCTATCAAAAGCTTTTGTCATGTCAATCTTGAGAGTCATGATTCTTTTTTTTGTTGTTGTTTTTTTTTTTTACTGTTGAGGAAGTGATGCATTCATTGGTTATGAAAATTTATCTAAGGTTAACCTATCAGGTACAAAGGCCGCTTGAGAATGAGAGATATAGACATTAAGAGTAAGCTTCAACTTATTTTCTAAGATCTAGCAATCAGCCTATACATGACAGTGCAAAGATTTATGGGCTTGAAGTCAGAAACCTTCTGGGGGATTTTTGGATTTTGAAATGAGAGTGATTAATGTGTGATTCATAGCTTCGGGAATTAACCAGTGTTCAAAAAGTTTGCAACATCAGCACATAGATCTTGCTTAAGTAAAAGCCAAGAAGATTGAAAGTAAGAGGGAGAAAACCCATCAATACATGAAGAAGTGCTTAGATCCATATCCCACAAAGTTGATTTAATTTCCTTGCTCATCCATAGGTCTAGTAAGACTCAAGCTCATCTCTTAAATAATGGATGTTGGAATTCTCTTTAGCACCTCCTTTAAATCTTGGGTTCTCAGTCTGAAACAATTGTTCAAAGAAGTCCATGATCACTTGTAAGAACTCAACACCTATTCTTACACTTAACCCTATTGTTGTTAATCAAGTGTTCGAGCGAGTTCTCACTTTTTTTTTGTCTAACACATGCTTTGAAAAACCTAGTGTTGTTGTCACCTTCTCTAAGCCATCTGAGCCTTGAATTATGCTTCCATTAACTTTTCTCCTCTCTGTAAGACTTATGCAATTGTTCTTTACACTGAGCCCACTCATCCCAATTTCTTAAACCACCCTGCTGCCCTAGAAGTTTGAGCTTGTCATTGCAGTTTTGAATTAACTTGCTTGGGTTGTAAGAGTTGTTGGCTAACCACCCCAACAGACCTAACTTAACAATCCTAAGTCTTTTTTGGAAATTATAAATCCCTATTCCCCTCACATCTATATCCCAAGCTTCCCTTACACACTCCTCACAACCTTCTTCTTTTAGCCATCTACTATCAAAACGAAAACTTTTTTTTACCCTTT